TGTGTGTGTGTGTGTGTGTGTGTGTGTGTGTGTGTGTGTGTGTGTGTGTGTAAGGAGGGATTTTTTGTTTTTTTCCCCATTTTCTGAAAGATGCACTGGGCAGAAAAAACTATGACAGGAGCAGCTGGAAACAGCAACTCTGTCGACATTTTAACTGATGCTCTAATATTTTATTGAAAAAACAATATTTTAACACAAAAATCCCACTTTGTTATCAAACAAAAATCATTATCACAGTTTATTCTTAGTTTAACAAGATCTTGCAGCAAGCACATGCTATAACCACAATTTAACAAAAACTTTAGGAACAAAAATGTTCTTTATGGTTTAGGGTTTTAATTTCATTGTGAAATTCAAAATTTTGCACATTGTTTTCAACTTTTCTTAATTTACAGCCACATAGTCATACTTAAACTCCAGTATTTAACCACCAACAAAGGCATCATTTTCATTTTATTAATTTTTTTTCACATCTTGTTCTTTTGGTGCAGGGATTTTGTTGCTTATTTAGTTACTGTAAAATGCAAAATGCTTTAGAAATACTAAATATGGTCAAAAACATATGTCAAAAACCTAATGAAACAAACACGGTGATAATCTCAAAATGATAGTTCAGATCAAAAAGAAAAAATAAGTAGGTCCTCTGGACAGGTTCTTTTTAACGAAACGTTTCGTCTCTCCTCCAAGAGACTTCTTTAGTCTGATGAGTTTCAGGTGAACTCAGCCTTATAAGCACTGCCTCCACATGGACAAACAATCAAAGAAGAACCCGTCCAGAGGACATGCTTATTTATTTATTTATTTAATTTTTTATTTGTTTTTTTTTATACTACCTGGATTACTGAGATGCATCAGGATAGTGTAGATATTTTCAAGTGGGGTTCTAGGGAGCGATTATGAACAGTTAATATCTTACCTGTTGAAAATAGCTCTTTGAGTGACTTTATTTTAAAGAGATAGACTTTAATTCTGTCTGAATTGATGAGCTAACCGCTAAGTTGAGATAGGCAAAACCCAAAGTGGAATGCTGCCATCCTAAAATATCTCTAACTCTCAAAATATTCACCAGACCTTTAAGATGTGGCACAGTTGATTAGCATGTTTGACTGTTAATTGAACGGTTGGTGGTACAAGCCCAGCCAGGGACCAGTTCCATAATGTTCTTTGTCGAGGATTTAAAAACTAACAAAGCTTTCAATCTATCAAGTGTAATAAATGTCAAACAGCCCGTCATTTATTGCAACAACAACATATTTTTTGTCAATTGGGTGCGCCAAACTGTTTCAAGGTTTATAAACACAAGTTCATCACCAATACTTTGACATTACACAATTATTTACGTAAATATCTTTAGCTATTTGTAAGTGCAAACAATGGCAGAATCAACTTGCTGTGGCTCCTTCAGGAGTACTTTCTGAGTAGGTCGTCTGTACGGTTTCTTCTTTAAACCGTCCAGAGGACCTAGTTTTTTTCTACCTGGATTACTGAGATGCATCAGGACATCTATTACATGTAAAAACTATGAACATCATTAAGTAACTTGCAGACGTTTCAGATCACAGTGGCAGAAGCCCCACATTTAGTCAAAATTGTGTTTAATGTCAGATATCCTCCCTTGTATCATCTTTTATTTCCTTCCTCTCGCTTTTTTAGTAGATGATATATTCAGTCACACATAAATTCCTGCCCAGACTTTGCACAGAGTGGTGGGTAGAGGGTTGGGGCCTGGAGGGCGAGTCGTGGTGCTCACGGAACCACAAAACTACCCATTTCTGCCTGAGGTGTAACATAGCAAGGGTCAGCTGGTCCCAAGACAAAGTGAAAAAGGAATCAAGAGTATTATCCTGAGCATGTGATGCTCATAATAATCTCTGTGTGTTTGAGTGTGTTTTTTCAGAGGACAGCCCCCAAAGCGGCTCAGTGAGCAGGGAGAGACCAGGAGACTGGAGTCTGGGTGTATGAGGGGGTGGACGGAGGCTCGGGAGCTGGCTGGATGTTGGGTCAGGTAGGTTTGAGGAGTGTCAGCTTTTAAATTCTTGCTATTCTTTTTGTTTCTAGCTAACCATTTCTTGAATATTTAAGAATTCATATTCCTGTGATTCTAGTTAGCGCTTTATGTTTGACCTTGCCGGCAGACGTTTGTGAAGGCAGCAGATCTTTTCCCACAGGACTTTTTCCTCCATATTGTAAAACTGAAGTGGATGTGACGTTTCATCATGAGGACGCTGCTTGAGTCTGTCATTCTGTTGGTCCTTGCTGAGGTTTGTTTATGCCAGTTCCCTCGCCCTTGTGCCAACTCAGAGAGCCTGCGAACTAAAGAGTGCTGTCCCATATGGGAAGGAGATGGTTCTGCTTGTGGAGCCATGTCAGGCCGTGGATTTTGCACAGAGGTCCTGGTCTCAGATGAGCCCAATGGGCCACAGTACCCTCACATTGGGATTGATGACCGCGAGCGTTGGCCTTTGGCGTTTTACAATCGGACATGTCGTTGCGCTGGAAACTATGGAGGCTTCAATTGTGGCGAGTGCAGGTTTGGTTACTGGGGAGCAAACTGTGCTCAGTACAGGGAGTCGGTCCGCCGGAACATCCTGACCATGTCGCCTGCCGAGCAGCAGACGTTCATCTCGTACCTCAACCTGGCAAAAAACACCATCAGCCGCGACTACGTCATCTCCACGGCCACAAGAGCAGAGATGGGTGAGAACGGCGAGATCCCCATGTTCTCAGACATCAACACCTACGACCTGTTCGTCTGGATCCACTACTACACGTCCAGGGATGCCTTCCTGGGTGGGCCCGGAAACGTCTGGAGAGACATCGACTTCGCTCACGAGTCCGCGGGCTTCCTGCCCTGGCACAGAGTCTTCCTGCTCCACTGGGAGAACGAGATCAGGAAGGTGACGGGGGATTTCAACTTCACCATCCCATACTGGGACTGGAGGGACGCCCAGTCCTGTGAGGTGTGCACCGACGCTCTGATGGGTGGACGCAGTTCCCTCAATCCCAACCTCATTAGTCCTGCTTCTGTCTTCTCCTCGTGGAAGGTGAGACAATCTGTTTAATTCTGACTTTATCTTTGTGAGGATGTAAGAAAATCTAGTGTTCTTTAACTCAAATCGAGACAAAACCACATAAATGTTGAATAAATTGAAATGTGAAGGGAATGAGGACCATACAACACCAGTGACTGGAAATGAGCAGAGATTTAATGCTCTCAATGCAAGCAGGAAACCCACGCTGAATGAAAAACCGGAAATAAGTGCATATTCTTCAATGCCTGGTACGCCCACTACTGGCCTACGGCTGAATCGCAGGCACTCTGAATACCAATGCTCACCTAATGTTTTATAAACGGTTTCTTATGTGTTGCGATAATGTTTCGGGCATGTATCTAAGCTATTTTAATCAAGACATAACAATAGTTAAACAATGGATTATAAAAGTCAATACTTAAAAGGAAAACTAAGAAAATGGTGTAGTGTTTTTAAAATCAGTATCTAGCATGACTAATAATTTTTTACAAGAAGATTGCCATTTTATCCCATTCAACACGGTTTTTCTTGGTTTATTTTCACTTCATGCTGCAGGGTTTTTAATTTTGGGGGTTAATTTTGGTTTATCCTGTTATTCCAAAGGAATTAAAGGGTTTTTGGTGGGTTCATTCTCAAATTATCATTTGAAACCAAAAACTATCTCAGTCTAAAAGGGTTTATAAATATCAAAAAAATCAAATAAAGAAAATGCATGAAAGACAACATTACTCTGTAACATTAAAAATATCCATTGCCAATGGATGATTGCTTCAACGAAAGGATTGTTTCGCTAAAAAGTCTATTATATTGAAAAGCTGTTTCACTAACCTTAAACTGAAGCTTTAAGGAGGCTCATAGGCTTTATGACTACAGCAGCTCTGTGTCTTTGCATGTGCAGGTGATCTGCAGTCAGCCAGAGGAGTACAACAATCGAGAGGCATTGTGTAACGCTACAGCAGAGGGGCCACTGTTGCGTAATCCCGGCACCCATGACCCAAACCGCGTGCCAAGACTCCCCTCAACAGCTGATGTGGAGTTCACGGTGGGGCTCCCTGAGTACGAGGCGGGAAGCATGGACAGATTCGCCAACATGAGCTTTAGAAACGTCCTGGAGGGTACAACACCCAAACGCTTACACTTTTCACAGAAAAACTTTTTCAACATCAAGTTTGCTTCAGTAAGAAATTCTTCCACCAGATTTATGCAGGGATAGAAATCCTTTAGACTGGATTTGTTAAAAATTTGGAGCAATCTTATTAGCATTCAGACTTTACTTTAGCTCATCAGGCTGGTCAGAATTAAACTCAGTTCCTCCAAACTAGGTCATTCAAAGACCTTTTTTTTTACTATCACTTGAAAAAAAATTTTTCTCAACCATCTCTCACTACTTCAACATCAGTTTGAAGTAAAAGTCTAAAGAGTGAGTCAATATTCTGCCTAGTTTACAAGTCCAACAAACTTTACTGTTAAAAGATACATTGGTACGTACTACAAATTCACTTTTGTTGTTGTGTATCACCGCACATTTTATCATCCTCTGTCTGAAACTCACACTGCAGCTCTCGTCTCTTCAATGCTCCTATAAGGTCCTATCAGAGCAGAGATTCAGGGTTGGTTAACAGAAGTGGCCGTGCATTTTTCATTTGAAGCACACCAAAGGAGCCACTTGGTAAACTTTAAGCAGCTGTGATAAAAGACGAGTAACAGCAGAAAAACTTGAACGGATGAGGCCTTTATGTGAATCCAGTGTCTCTGTTGGCGAGAATAACTCCCTGAGGTCTGGACTTCATGCTTTGCAGCACACAACGCTACACTTATTTTCCACTTCTTTCTCGTGTTATTACAATATTTTTGCAAATTCTTTGTTTTGTTCCGCTAAGCTCAACTTTTTCTTCATGCAAATTCTCCAATCCCCAGCATATTTTATTTATTTTTTTCCTGCTCCCCTTGATATCCTCTCATCTTTCTGTCTGCACTTCAGTAATAATAGCTGTCATTTATACCCCGGTGATAAGCCTTGTTTTCCTCGCTCTGTTTATGGCAGGTTTTGCCAGTCCAGAGACGGGTTTGGCGGTGCCAGGGCAGAGCACCATGCATAACTCCCTGCATGTCTTTATGAACGGCTCTATGTCCTCAGTCCAGGGTTCAGCCAACGATCCAATTTTCCTCCTGCATCATGCTTTTATTGACAGGTAACACACAGTCACACACACATGCCAGTCTATACATTAGCAAATGCCAAGCTTCTTAATTGAATGCCGCAGGATGCACGTAATCTTATTTACCTTGCTACAAGCTACAACCCGCAACAAAATGCGGGAGTTAAGTGGAAATTATGAGTCGTTTTTAAAAGGTTCAACATTATTTCTCCTCTAGTATCTTTGAGCGCTGGCTCAGGACCCACCAGCCTCCTCGGACCATCTACCCACGTGCCAATACCCCCATTGGCCACAACGATGGCTACTACATGGTGCCCTTCCTTCCTCTCTATAGAAACGGAGACTACTTCCTGTCCAACAAAGCTCTGGGATACGAGTACGCCTACCTGTTGGACCCAGGTGAGTTCATAACATGTCTGAAATGGCTGATTGTCACTTTCTGCTGGTTTTCTGTTCATGTGGCCATTTCAACCCATCTGCCTCACCACAGGTCAGAGGTTTATGCAGGAGTACCTGACGCCCTACCTGCAGCAGGCCAGGGAGATCTGGCACTGGCTGCTGGGCGCCGGGATCCTCGGAGCCGTGGTCGCTGCAGTCTTTGCTGCACTGGTTGTTGTCGTAAGGAGGAGGTGGAGGAGGAGGAAGAAGAGGGCGTCGAGCTTTGGGGAACGACAGCCGCTACTGCAGAGCAGCTCAGAGGAAGGCTCCTATCAGACCACGCTTTAACGCACAGATCCTGACCGCTCACGTGGAGATGAACAAACAAACTAATCAGGGTGTCTTTAAATGAGATGCAGACCAAAACATGACTTAATATAATATTATTTTACAGGAATACATCTGATACGGCTGTTTAATAAAAAAACCAGGTGCTGATGAGACAGTGAGGCATTTCTAAAGATTAAAAACTAAAAACCTCTCCTCACTTGAGTATAATGTCTTTGCATTTCTGTCATCTGCATCTAAAACAATATAAATAAAGTAGTTTTTGTGGCATCACTGTTAGAAAAATCAGTAACTACATAATACAGTCTGGTATAATCCCAGTTAATACCTCATACTTACAGGGTAAATATTTGATACTTACCTAAATTTATTAACCTGATGCACTCCTGGTACTTGTCAGGCTGTTTTACATTTTGCTTCAGGAAAATATATTTTCAGTTCTACTGTCTCAGTTAAAAACAGAGAGCTTGTTTTTTTGTTGTTCTTACTTTTGACATTAAAGACTTTATTTCCCTCATTGTCAGGAACTAAACCATATGTAATGTCATTGATTACAACCTTTTTAATATATTCATGGATAATTCAATTTTCAGGCCAGGGTGTGAATAGCATTGGTTCACTTAAATAGACTGTTGTTGTGTTTTGTTTTTACTCAAATAAATTACTATTGAAGTGGTGTTAAAGTCAGGTTTGACACTGTTCTCGCTGTTAAACTCCCTTTTTTTTCCCTTTTTTTGCTTAATACAAAATAAGTCAGATGTACAATAAGCCAAACAATGAAACACAAAAGAAAATGTGAAATAAATGTTCTGCCCTTTGGATAAACTGTGGCTGACATCAATGCTTTTTCAGGTGTAATTCTGTTCAAACATTTCAAACATCTCAGTGGCGTTACAAAGTCACAAAGCCTTGGCAGAACCAAAGATCATCTTGTCTCTGTGATTAACAAGAACTCCAACAAAATCTAAAAACACACTTCAGTGTGTTTCAGCGGTGCCAACGAGTACTCAACTCTGATCTGTAAAAGGTTTTCCTCACATGGTAACAGAATGAATCATGTGTTTGTGCTGCATTAAAGCCAAAGATGAATCAAATTGATTTTGATTTTCTTTTTCTATAAAGACGCTGCAGAAGATGATCGAACAGGTTTCTTATAAAACAGCTTTTCTGTAAAGCAGCAGAAATCTGTAGATGAAACGTCTTTATTCTTTGGTAACAATGATTTAGCAGGCAAGCAGACATTTTTCCTTTTAGCTACTATCTGTGGTTTAAATTAACAAACAGGAGACTTTTTGGCAATAAGTAAAGTTTAGTTTGTAGATCTTAAAGCTGTCCAACACTGAGTTGATCTCAAAAATAAAATGTAAAAAGTATAATTAGGATACAATAAATATAATATCTATTTTATTTGCTTTGTTCTTAAAAACAAATCTGAAATTAAACATACAACATGTTCATGTATTTTACAAAAGCTACACCACTTATTTTTTCAATTATTTGCAACAGTCTAGAAGCTTATCTTTGCTCTCAATACTTTAATTCTTTAGTTATACAGAAATATATTGATTTAAATATTTTGCAGATTACCAAAGAGGTTGATCCTGACTTAGATGCATGTTTATTTTAAACGCTAAATCTGTAAGTTTGTTTACTGCAAACCTGATAAACAATTAAAATGATGTGCATTATATGAACCCTGTTAGGAAAAGAAGAGCCTGAGTTACATTTATTTTTATAAAAGAATGAAACATTTGACAGAACATCCCAGCTTTGTTGAATTAAAGAGGACTCAAATCAGGACCAATTCCAGTAGTATTTTGAAGTTAAATCTAGTATAAAAATCCACACTGTGCAAAATTTGAAACTGAATAAATCTCACAAAAACAGTGGGCAGATCAGCATTAGGTCATGACCCCAGTTTTCTAAATATTGCCTGACTAAAATAAACAGTGTACCGTATTTTATTGTTTATATTTAATTAAGACGAGATGTACTGCCAGTGTGCATTTCACTTAATATATCTGGTATTCCAATAATCTTCATATGGGTGTTTCAAGTTACACTCATTAAACAGATGGATTTGCTTAACCAAGTTACGTCAACACTCAAATGAGTTTCGCATTTTCTTTAAAAATAAATGTGACGGTCAGTTGAGTGGAAGTTGTGTAAGTTAGTGATGTAAATCCAACAATCTATAAAAAAAAAAGTCCAACAAAGTAAATCCTGCAAGGGAACTGGCTATGATGCACTTGGAAATAAATGTAAGAAAATAACTTTTTAAGTGTTGATTTGGAGTAAAAAAATAAAAAAAAATAAAAAAGTTTTTCAGTTGACTGGCACTAACCTGGCATTGGGTTGCTACATCTACAGCTGCCCTCTCAGTTGCTCTCGTGCACTCTTTGGCATCAGCTAATCTCTCTCATCATCTCCTCCACACCACCTCCTGGAAAACATTTAAGGAGCTCTTCAAGAACAAAGTGTCTGGGCTTCATAACTATTGCCTTTGATGACCTCCAGTTAGCCCGGAGAAGAAATTTGATATTAAAGTCTTATTTTGTGCTGGCTTTAGTGTTTCAGTTTGCTGTCTCATCCCTGAGTGGTTGCACTGAGTGATGCTCGAACCCTGGAGAAGACGGATTTCCTCCAGCTGTGTTTGTTGGAGTCTGGCTGGTGGAGTTGGACCTTTTTTTTTTTCCTTCCCTCTTGTTAAAATCCAGCATGAGGAAACAAAAGAGGGTAGCACCGATGCTTGGAGGAGGAAAAAAACAACACAGCATTGAGCAGGGAGCCGCAGTCTTCAGTCTCCCTCATCTGCTCACACAATCACGTGATGAGGCTGCAGCAGCCGAAGCCCTCAGCTGGACGTCAGGATGATCGCGCAGCAAGTAAAGCCCTTCGGTCAGTTTCATTAATGCCATGAGCCACGTGACAGCCAAACATCCAGGAACGTACTTCGTCTGAAAAAAGCTTTTGTCCTAAAACGAATAAAAACTTGTTCGTCCAATCCACCCAGCTGCAACGCTGAATTAGCTGAACGACTCCTTGTTGAACTCAAAGGTGGTTCCGCCGGATCGGGCCGAGTTACACAACCTGTGGAGGGTTCTGGAGATGCCTTTGGGTCCACAGCAGAACACGCCAACTCGATTCCTGAAACATCAGAGACATAACCAGGCGTTAAGTGTTACAACGATCAATCAGCTTGTTCCTAAATATTCTGCTTACTGTTTATTGCTCTTTCCAATCTCGTCAAGAAGCAACTTCCACCTGGGCCGACCGACCTGCAGCCGGGACGCGAGCAGATGGTACCGCTCCTCGGACATGCTCTGAAAAAAAAAGTTTCGATTACAAATAATGCAGGGAAAGTGTGATACAGTTCAGATTATATTTGTTTGGGTGACACACAGAAACCGACTAGTTTATGAGGAGCAAAACAGGAATTGTTTATCAGCCATGATAAATTCTGCTTTAATATTATTATTACCTGCAGCTGAAGACATCATTTTTAGTTTTATGTTTGTGTTTTATCTTTATTTTTTCTTATTTTTTGTAGATTTTTTGTGTATTCCTGTAATTAAAATGAAATAAACAAATAAATAAAAATAAATAAATTAAGACAATAATGTTTTTGCCCATGTCTGTGTGTGGCGTTAGCAAAATATCTCCACACCAACCGGAGGAACTTTACTGAAACTCACAAAATGTAATCATTGAATTAACATATTCACCTGATTAACCTTCGAAGTCAATCTGACTCAAAATGGCCGACCTGGCTAAGCCAAATTAGCAAACGCTAAAATTTCCATAACTCAGTTTGTTCTACTGATCTTGCGCTAAAACTTGGTGTGGTAGTAGCTGAGAGTCATTGCCAAAAAATACTCTAAGTGCAAACTGATCGCATGAGATCTGGTTTTAAAACGTAGTTATTAACTATTGGGGTCATAGATGTCTGTCTGTTAGCAAAATATCTCGTGAACCACTAAATGTTTTTTAATGAAACTACCAGAAAGTAATTATCACATGTACAACTACAACTGATTAACTTTCGGTGCCAACTCAATTCAAGATGGCAGCCACAGCTAATGAACCTTTGCTAACACACAAATAGCTATAAATTAGTCTAATTTACAGATAACAAAATAATGTTTGTGTGGTAGTAGCTGAGGCTGATCCACAAAACACACTCTAAGTGCTAACAAATGAGAACTCACAACATAACAGTATTCTAACACCTTCACTTCCCTGAAAACAATAACAAAATGACGATTATTTCAACATATTTTCTTGGAAGAAGTGGCTCAAATATCACTTTTAAACAAATAGATTAATTTCACAACTAAAGTTTCTAATTCATTTGTTTGATTTGAGCTGTTTTTGTCTGGCGCCAGCAGCTATGTAACTCAGTGAAGCCATTAGCACAAAGCTTTTCGTGCACGTGACTCAAAGCTTTTTTTGTTTGTTTGTTTGTTTTTTCCTGATCAACTCTGACCTCACAAGAGGTCGGGCACACCGGCTGTTATGGGTCAAGAGCTCTCTGTCAACAGGGTGTAAGGTAACACCCGAGTGTTATCTGATTTCCTGCTTTGACTTCGACTTGTGCTAGAACGTAAAAGCAACAAAGCTGCTCGTCTGCAACCCTCCCAAAACAGAAAGAAAAGATTACATGTTAGTGGTGAAAGAAGTTCAGTTACATTCAGGTTTAATTTATTGCTTTTTTCGTTTGTTTTTTTTTTTAAATCTCAGGAATGAAGCCTGATGGGTTGTCGTAAACTCGCTCAGTTGTTAAAATAAGGACGCAGCTGTGAAAAAGTGAAAAGAAACTCTCCCCGTCGGGGAATCGAACCCCGGTCTCCCGCGCCGGAGTCGAGAATTCTTTAGCTAAAACGGCCCTAAACCGTTTCCCATTCATTTCCAATGGTAGTGCTGATCCACTACGGATGCAATGACAGTTTTGGCCGCTACGTGCTTTGGCGCTGTTCCTTCTTTCAAACGGAAGTAACGCAGCAGTATGCCGGTCCGTCGAAAGAAAACAGTTCTCGCGCAGGAAGAAGGTAAATAAATCGAAGAAAACAGATCGTCACCTATTTCCATCCATTCTTTCGTGTTTTAAAAGGTAAGTTACGCTGATAGTGAAATAAGTTGAACTTGTTTATTGT